CAGGACCCGCTATGTCACACGTCTGGCTGAGCCCCATCATTCCTGCCACCATGTGACCTAGCAAGACCAGCAGACAGCCGGCACAGGCAGTACTTGCTCATGTCTGCCAGGAAGCACCTTCCCAAAGTCCCTCTGGCAAACAGTGCTCAAAACCCCATCCTTACCCTGCTTCCTCTGGGCCTCAGACCTTGTTTTCCAGCATTAATGGCTCACACTTCACACCTTCTCACCAATTCAGAAGCCTGCCCTCTGTCACATGGAGTAATTTTCCTCCTTAAACTTGTAAGTTTACTATATGTGCATTACAACAGAACATATATACAACCTGCACTACTTAATGCTGCCAGTAACCTTCAAAACTTCACTGGAAAGCACTCGTCACATCCTGGCCATGGTGTTAAATGGGACAGCCAAGCCAGGGCCACCATGCTTTGGCCAATCCTCCTGGAAACCATCTCTCCCCTATGGGCAATCTTGGTCAAATGGGTGCTCTGGTGAATGTGAGTTTATTGATGAAATACTCACCACAGGATGAGATCCTGACCTATTTCATGCAATTGAGTAGGCAGCATGTTGTTAGCAATACCAGACTAGCCATTATTTTATTATCAAGTTAAGTGGCACTGGTGCTGCTGGGAGAAATACAGTGAACTTGCCTGTAAGTCTTCACCCTTTTTACTGCGATTGTCAGAGCACTGAAAGAGCAATTGAAATTATTACAGATATCCCTTCAGTTCCTCCCAGATCTAATACAACATAATCTTGTTCATCTCAGATAATCAGGTCAAGTCATTAGCTCACAGATAATTCACCTCACGCTGAGTGCTATGGCTTGGCAAAGAGCAGGCTGTGCTCTTCAGGCAGCCAAAACCCGAGCATCTCCCAGCCAGCCCTCTGCCCACCATGCAGGTCCCCCACAGGAGCCAGGGGAGGGCTGCCCCAAGGCAGGGCTCTCATGCACACAGGGCCAGCTCGCTTTCAAATCCTGCTCCATTTTACGTCGGGTACAGCCATGCTGCTCCTTGCATGATGAAAGAAAAGGAAAAAGAAGGCATCATTGTAAATGACTTAACACTTTTAAAAATTACCCATTGCAGGAACAGGAGTATTTCAGAAATATTTTAATTAAATGAGATCAATATGACACCAGGCGCTCTACACAAATAACTGGCCACATGCATCAATTTTCACACCAGTCCGACTGTGCATGTGGCTTGCAGGCGATGCAAAATCTTATTTTAAAACAAGCTAGTTGAAATTCAACAATTTTGCCAATTTGCTAAGATAGAGCTCAGCTATGCAAAGCAGCAGAAGCCCCACAAAATCAGATGTACCTGACAGAGTAGGAGGTGTAGAGGAGCTATATTTTAAAGTGCTTGAAATGCCTGCTTGTTTTAAGCTTGCAAAACTCAGCTGGACTCTTCCCAGAAACAGCCTTGCAGAAGACTTCCACAGAAGCTGCTTTTAAGAAGCGCCTATAAAGGATTTCATCCTTTCTGGCACCAAAGAAAACCTAGATTAAAGCTGCACTCAGCAACACAAGGAGCAAAAAAAGGATGATCCCAAATTCTCTAGAACAACCGTGCCAAGCCCCAGCTAGGTAGCACTGGCAGCACTGGAGACATTCCAGGAGCACAAAGAGGAAAGCATTTGCATACATTTGCATAATGACAATATAAAAAAATATATAGTTATTGTTGTCATTTATAGCTGGGAAGATGCATCAGTTGGGCTCTTGCTCTCCGACTCCCTCTCAACCCAGGTCCACAAAATGGACTAGATTTGGACTTAATATATACATCTTGCTCTGGTGGAGATGTTCTGCCATTGCTCTGGTTTGCTCTTGGGAGAGTGGTAGCAGGGCGGCAGATCCCAGCCCGGAACAGGAATCCCAGCAATGCTGGCTATGCCTCCTCTCTGACCTGAGAGGGTCAGGTCTCTATCTAAACAGGAAGCCATGAGGAAGCCAGGCTCAGCCAGGCTCAAGATGCTCACCCTCCAGTCCCAACTGCCATGGAGGAGAGGCAGCTGCTACTCATGGCCCCGTTTTTCCCTGCTCTCAGCTCAGCACAAGCAGTTATGGGGGGCTTTCCAGGATGCTCTCCCCCTTGGCACCCTCAGTGTTGGGCAGGGTGCTTCCCCACATCTATATATTTAGTAAATAGAGGCAAAGCCCAGTGAGCAGCCAGGGTGAAGGCACCACTGAGAAAGGGGATTTGCAGCAGAAACTCCCCCTCCTTCACCAACAGTGACTGACTCTGCACAAACTGGGACACAGCACATTCCCCTAAACTGCATTAAAACCATACAAAACCTCAGGGTCAGCAGCTGCTTCACGTATCACACACAGAACCACTGCAGCTTGTTCTTGATGATCTCCCATCACTTGCTTTCTGTGCCTAAATAAAATTTTTCTTCCTCTGGTTTCCCCATGCCAATATTTGGGGATTACTTTATTCCTTAAAGAACACAACTACCCTTCTGCTTTAAGAAGGGGACACATTCCTTGACCTCCAGCCAAGCCAAAACCAGCCTCAGGCACCAGCCCAGCCAGCAAATGCCCTTGCAGTGCCACAGTACCATCTTGCTGCTGGGTGCAAGGCCAGTGCAGAACATGGGAAACCAGGGAAGGGCTATACATGTAAACTCCCGTCACACAAACCATCTTGGTATCCTCTTTACAAACACATCCCACAACAAATAAACAGACATTAAAAGTCTCTCTGGCAGATCTCATCTGCAAAATCATGGCCTTTCAATGACTTGCATCTCTCCCATCTTACACTAGATCAGTAACACCTGAGCACACATTTTGAGCACATCATTCACCATGAGAAATCATTATTTTACCCTAATTTGTGTCCCTTCTCTGCGATTCAGAGCTTTATCTATTAATTTTCTAGACTATACTTAAGTTTCTTTATATTGGTCAACAAGGACATTCTGGTGTTTTATTTGGTTGGGGGGGGGGGTGTTTCCCTAGGGTTCATCTAAGCCCTCAAAATTGTCAGGCCAAAATCCAACCACGGCCCAAAAGGCTGTCTCATGTGAAAAGCAGTCAAGCTCCTTCTGTTTTAAGCCTGGGGGCAGCAAGCTTGCCGGCTGTGTGGTTTGCTGGCCTCCCAACCTGTCCTTGATCCCCTTCTATTGTGCAGGCAAGAGGCCAGGGATCAGAAGAGCAGCTCCTCTCCTGGCTATTGGCCAAGCATTATATGGTGAGAGTGCCCCATATCCTGACTGTAATTATTTTAGGAAGCTAGATGACTTCATTGCCAGCTGACATTCCCTGACCTACTCACTGTTAGACAAGCTCACTGCTGGCAGGCCCCACAGCTTGTTACTCAGTGCTATAATTTGCACATTGCCATTTACCGGGCACTAACATGCTGGCGTTATCGAGGCAGCACCCGTATTTTCATGCAGCTGAAGTGCTTATGCAAGCGGTAAAACACAAACGTGCCCCTTCACAAGTAGTTTGCTGTTACTTTCGAATTGGGACTGACACGAGGGAATCCTCTGAATCGTGGACATGCTACAGTTTCCATCCAGTGCCAACAGCCCCTCATCCCACACCCACCTTCCACCCCCTCCTTGCCTCTGCAGCACACGCTTCTGCACAGGATGCAGCACCGTGAGCATGGATACAGCCCCGATACGGCTCAGGCTGCATTTAACCTCAGCCACAACACGCAAGATACCAGGTACCATGGGGGACAGCTAGTGCCAGGGATGCTCCAAACGTAACAGTGTGGCACGTGAAGCTTGAAGGTATTGTGCTTGGGTTACATGGAGAGCTCAGTGGAGAGAGGGACAGTGAAAAATACACAGTTACAAATAACTTGGAGGACAGGACTTATGCAAGAGAAGGTTGTAAGTGTAGATGGAGGAGCAGTGTCCCCACTGCCCCATCACAGAGGGGGAAGGAGCATCCTTGCCACACTCACCCTGATCCGCCGCATGGCTGTCACGATCTCCACCCGGCTGTTCGGCCGTGGCACATCCAGGCTCCCAATGTACTGGAGAGACCGAAAGAGCAAATTAGTCAAGTTTCCATGGCACCAGAAACATCATGATCCCACCATGGCTCCAACTGCATCCCCAGAGGGAACCCACAGTCACTTCTGGGAAATAGGTAGCTTTTTGCCTACTGCACCTGAAGCCTCGCAGACCTCCCACCATGAAGATGTTCCCTCAACACAATGCCTCAAGGATTCAGCAGCCCTGTTTCTAACAATAAAGTAACTTCAGTAATCAGGCCAGCAGACCTCATTCATCTGTACTGTGATCAAAGTATGTAGCTATAAGCCAGTATAGCACTGAGTCACCTACTATAGACCTGGATATTGGAATATCCTTAAAATAGCTGGAGCAACCTGTCCTGTGACAGGCACTTCAGTGTTTAATTACAGCCCTGCCAAACCCTTGGCTGTTTTTGCAGCGATGCTGAGCCTCCAGGCCAAGCCTCCAGAATAATGGAGCCGCTTTGCTATTCAAAGGGGACCAAAGGCAGCGCCACTGCGACCCAGCACGGAGAGATGCTGAACAAAAACCTTTTTAAAGATAAAATGGAAGAGGGCAGATTCAGAAGAAGGTTCAGAAAACAGACAAGCAATGAAGAGTCAATGCTGAGCACTAAAAACGTGTAGTTAGAAGAAAAGCGTTTTGAGTCTATTTACTAGCCCGCTGTGCTCCCATGCTTCATCTCCACACGAGTGCTGACGTAACCCTCGGCAGCGCAGCGCAGGCACTAAACCCAGCAGGGCTATGTGTTCCTGTGAATACAACCATAACCTTCACTGACACCATGAAAACCCAAGGTCACTGGTTTCAAGCAACATTTCTGAGATGGGTGCTTAAATGGCTGAACATGTGTTAGGGATCACCATAGAGGCAGAGACCATGAAGAAGGGTTATTTCTCACCCAGAATCACTGCGGGAGTCCCAGTTCCTCTCCCCTGGGACACTGCTCCCATCTGTATCCATGGCACAGTGCTGGGGCTGCACAAGCAAGCCTGGGCTTTGTGTGTGCATGCTGTCCCAGAGAGCCCTCCTTGCTAACCCTCCACATCTCAAACTCAACAAGGCCACCCACTTGGTGCGGCCATCCCTACCTGCATGGTTCCTGCCCCGGGTGTAGATGGGGCAGACGTCCAGCGACCGGCACCAGGCAGCCAGTGCTGAGAAGAGATGAGGATATAAAAATAAACACCAAACAGCTGGCGTGTTCGTCACATGCTGAGCAGGCTGCCATGGAGCAGGGCAGCTTTATGTAACCATGAATTAAAGCCCATGATGCACACTGCTGACAAACGTGGCTTTAGCTGCCCAGACCCCAACCGCTGAATGCCCCACTGCAGAAGCACAGGTCTCAGTAAGTTTTCAGTTGCATCTCCTAAGCAACTGAACTAAGCAGAGCCTTCCCGCTCTTCAAAGGTGCAGGTCATATTAAGAGAAGCATCATTGACACCAATCAATTCCCTTATCTTATATAAAGTCTGGAAACCATCAATAAAAATTAGGAGACGAGGAGAAGGGCTAAGGCCATAGGCACAGGGTCCCCATGCAGTATATAAGGAAGAGACCTTTCCCCACCTTCCATTGCCAAGAAAAAGCCTCAGTGGCATGGCCCCTCTGCCACCAAGCCTCCCCATGCTGCTCTTCTGCAGGGGACCAGCCAGCACTGCTTCCCACTCACCTGCAATGGACGCTTCTTGGCTTAAATGAGGAGGACAGACTTTTGCAGCCAGAGGATGCCTATCTTCTTCTAGCTATTCCTGACAGCATGAGTTCACTTCCACTGGAGGGGTAATCACTTTCCTTCTCCCTGCGTTTTCCTTCCCTAGGCAAGCACAGAATGCAGCCACATGGAAGGACAAGGTGAGTGGTGGCAGCTATAAGCTGGGCAGGAGATGGCCCCATCCTCTGCTGGCTCCCACAGCCACATGAATTTGAGCAATGCCAACCTCCTGGCTGGTGACCACAGCAGCAACACTCAGTCATGCCTGTAATTGCATGTGTGAGCTTGGGAGGGCTGGGCCGCCCCATAAGCAAGTGATGGAACAGAAATCAGACACCTCCTGGGACTGGGCATCGTGGGAAACAGCACCAGCAATCGGAATGTCTTGATGCTGTCCTATCTACACCCCTTTCTTCAGCTATTCTCCTCCAGCCCATGTTCACATGTACCCAAATCAAGGGGCTCCAGTCACAAAGCATGGAGGATTTGCCTCTGCTCCCAAACCTGGGCTCCCAGGCATCCTGCTGCATCCTGCATCCTGTGGGAGTGTGTCCCCACCAGAGCCTGTGGCACCTCCTGCCCCAGCGTGGGCTCACTTCACACAATTAGTGTGTTCACAACTCTGAAAACACCCACCTCTTCCTCCGCTCTGGAGGCAGGTATTTCTTGCATGTTTCACTAAGCTCAACAGATGGACAAAGTCTCCGCAGATTATTTTTGACTTCCGGGCATAAATCATACGCGGGAACTGCACTGCAGAGGAGTAGCCCTTCACAATGTGGTGAGTGTTGCCCAAAAAATGTGGAGTTAAGAGGTCAGCCTTTCAGCTAAACAACTATTTCTCAGGCAAGGAGCAGGGATGGCCTGAGAAACCACCTGTATTTACCGGTGATTTGCAGGCAGTGAGTGTATCGAGGAGCTCGAGAGAGAGCTCCTGCTCTGCTCTCCTCCAGCCCTCCTACTCACAGCACCAACCTTCATTTCAGGCAGAGGTGTGGGGATAAAGCAGGCAAGGCAGAAGCAAAGATCAACAAAGCAGCAGGGTACAGAACTCTCCATTCATCCCGTTCCAACACTGAAACCCAGCTCTTCACTCCCAGGGCAGAAGCCCCGGGGACCCCAGCCATGGGCTTTTGTCTTACTCCAAAATCCATGTGCCTCAAGCAACGTGCCACATGCAGCAGTGGCCCTGGTCCCCACAGAGGCCCACGTTCCATCTCCCAAGCCTCAGGCCAGCATCTGGGCGAGCATCCGGGCCAGCATCCATGCCAGCAGGTTGACCCGGCAGGAAAGGAAGGCAGCAGGGCTGGGTCTGAGCATGGGGAGGAGAAAGGAAGGCACCCGCAACAAAAGGAAAGAAAATAAAGCTGTGTGAAAGAGAGCTGACAAAGAAAATGAACCCAAGAAAGAACCCACCCTCCCCAAGCCCCTGGGAACCAAGGAGGAAACCGTATGTACGTATGCAGGTCACAGATTTTCCAGACCCATGGCCCCACCACCCTGCCAGGAAATAGGGGCAGAGGTGGATCCTCCCTCCTGCTGCCATGTGCCAGGCAGGATCAGGGGGTCACCGATCTCCATGCTCTGAAGGCAGGAGGCACGGCTGGCGGGGTGGGGAGGGCAGCCGCAGGCAGCCCCGTCCTCCCAGCCCAATTAGGAGAAGAAAGGCCACTCGCTCAGAGTGCCAGTGAATGGGCGGCTGAGGGGGTCCCTACTGTAAGGAGGTTCTCTGGCAGCCCCACAAAGGCAGCTCTCGCACTGCAAACGGACAGACCTGCTCAGGCTGCGTCAACCAGCAGCACGGCAGGCAGGCACAAAGGACCTATTTGCAGGGTGCTTTTGGTTCCCTGGGCACCCTGCTGCTCCTCAGCCTTGTGTGTGGGATCCAGCCTTCCAGTGGTCCTTCCAGGACCGTTCTCCCTGCCATGGCTTGGTGGCTGTCACCCAGCAGGTTTCTCAGCACCAGAAGGGAGCTTGCTTGCTGTCCCCCTCCCATACAAACAGGGTCCCCTGTCTGTCCCAGTCATGGCTAGAAGGGGCCTCCAGACACAGCCCACACCATGCACCCTTTGCCCAGGGCTTACAAAAGACCTGTCCAGTTTAGGGAAATACCAGTCCTCCCCTGGCCAGAGGAAGAAAGAAAACAACAAAACAAAGGAGAGCATTTTGCCAAAGCAGTATTTGCTCAAGTCACTTAGTTTCTCATTTTTCCTTGAGGTTTTTTAATGCTGCTTGTTTTCTACTCTGTCAGAAGTGAATTTTCTTGAGAAGCTGCTTTTTCTGTGGCAGCAGGTAGCAGATATTTTTGGAAAGCTGAAGGCCAATTGCATCCCTGACAGGGAGACACCTTCCAAGGGGTGTTGATGAGATCCCCTGCAGGTGATGGGCAGTGGTGGGCAGCAAAAGCCTTTCTGGAGAGGAGCTGCCGCCTTCCCAAGGGAGGCACACCGCTGCTCTGCTGGCCCAATACTGTGTGCAAAGGTGAGGGCTGAATCATACCCAACTTACAGGAGGAGCCCAGATTGCCTGGCAGCCAGGTTTCCAGCTTCAAAAGCCACCCTGAGTCAGAGAGCTTGCCAGGGATGAGGAGCCGCTGCTCCTTCAGAGGAGCTGCAAGCAGGCAGCAGGACAGCGCAGGCAGAGGAGACATGTGGCACCAGCCCAGGCTGGGGCATCACACCACGGGCTACACAGCCATCCCCAGGGACAGGAGAGTCTTGTTCAAGCAGGGGGTCCTCCACCTGGGCTGGGGAGGGATTCCTGGAGGTACCAGCAGCCAGCTTGGATACGAGCCACGAGGGTCCCAAGGTTTCTGTGGCGTTCAGGGCAGCGTGAGGCTGCACCAGGTACTGAGACATAGGCACCATGGCACACGTCTGAGCCACAAAGCAAGGGCCAAAGTGCTTGGGCACCAATCCCCAGCCATACACCCTAAAATCAGAAGCCTCTTTATTTCCCCAGTGCCCTACCTGCAGGCTGGCTTATAAGAGCTTCTTCCCAAGCTGCTGCCATTAGGGAAAACAAGGAGAAATCCAGTTCCCAGGACTTTCTCTATCCCAGTGTTCCTTCTCTCCTGTTGCCCACACACAGCCTGTGCCCAGGGAGCCACAGGGCTAGGCTGGCACAGCCTGGCTCTGCCCTGCATGCCAGGAACATCCAGCCCTGCTGGAAGGAAAAGGGGGAAGTTTACTCAGACTGCAGTGGTGCAAGCTCAGAGGCCAAAGGGGATGGAAAAGTCGGGATGCCAGCTGACTTCAATGGAAAAAAGCCCCACATTTC